AGAACTTCCAAACCTCAGGAAATGGAAGCTCAGATGTGGGAGGGGGTTAGAAAGGGGTAGAGTTGCCTCAGACAATGTCATGTGCCTGGTAGTGACTAGGGCTCCCTCCCCAACTTCTTGGGGCACCACAGCTCTTTCCCACCTATTCCTCTGTAGTCCCTGGCTGCAGCCCTGCACAGGGCTCCTGTGCTGCCTTCTGGGCAGCCCTCCGAGTCGGTCCTTTACAGCAGAACATTGAGCAGAAGAGCCAGGGATATCTGTCGCCTACTGCCCTGTGTCCCCTTCTCTGCAGCAGCATCACCACAGGCCCCTCACCAGTGCTCCCGGGGCTTCTTCCAGTTACGGAATCTTAGTGGTCTCACTGGCAATGCTGGATTCTACCCTCACTTCAAGCAGAACTGACAGCTCGTTCAGTTACTGGCCATGAAGGCTTCTGGGCAGGAAAGCTGGCCATGCCAGAAGGCTGCTCCTGGTGTTCACTTGCTAGCAGGATGAGTCCCAGCCCTGAGTTCCCATGAACTTGGGGGGGCACTATCCACCCTGCACACCCACGGACCCCTTCTGGACTCATCCTTTGTGTGCCAGGCACAGCTCTAGCCCCCAGTACACTGTCTCTCTTAACCCTTCCAGCAGGTGCCACCATAGTTCGTGCCACAGAGGGAAAACCTCTTCCCTGAAAGGACGATGAGACTTGCTCCCAGTCTCAGCCCAGAGTCTGGGCTCCTGTCTGTCACTCCCATCCTCCACTACTCCACATCACCTGCCCCCTCCGGTCACATCCCTTCCCTTCTTTGCTTGCCAAGTGGTTGTGAATGCCACCTTCTCCAGGGAGCCTCCTCTATTGGGAGATCCACCCTTCCACCTGCTCCTGCTCCGCTGACTATCCTCCCAGGGAATCAAGCTGTGTGCACACCTTACCCCAGGTCCTGGGGCTCAGGACTCCTCCCTCTCCTAGGTCTTCAGGGAGTTGGAGCCTGCTGTGCTGTCCTGCCTCCAAGGCTACAGTGTCTGCATTTTCACCTACGGTCAGACAGGGACCGGGAAGACCTACAGCATGGAGGTGGGAAGTGGGTGGACTCTGGGTGGCTCATGGGTCCAGGCTTTGGTATGTGAGCCCGATGTGGCACCCCACCCCATCTCCAGGGCCCACCTGAGGACCCCGGCATAGCTCCTCGGGCACTGCAGTCACTGTTCCGGGAGATGGGGACGGGAGGGCAGCACTGCGTGACCCTCAGCATGGTGGAGATCTACAATGAGGCTGTCAGGTCAGAGCCGCAGAGCTGCTTCCTCCATGCCTCCAGTCCCAGCCCCTGCCCCTAAATACCCTGAACCAAATCCTCTCCTTTCTCACCAGAGACCTCCTGGCCCCGGGGCCTCCTGAGCGTCTGGCTGTGAGGCAGGGCCCAGGAGGCCATGGGGGGATCCAGGTGGCAGGCCTCACCTCCTGGGATGTGCCCAATCTGGAGACACTGTACCAGGTAAGGCTGCCCAGTGGTACCTGCAGCCCCCTCCAAGGCCCTGCCCAGTGTTCCTACCTGTGGCATGGCCCCTGCAGGAGGCAGCCCTCTTGCCCCTCCCTCCAGATGCTGAGCCTGGGGAGGAGCAACAGGACCACTGCCACGACAGCCATGAACCAGCACAGCTCCCGCTCTCACGCTCTGGTTACCCTGACGCTGCATGCAGCAGCCCCACCACGGGGCCCAGGCACTGCAGGTACCAGGGCCCAGACCCGGGTCCTGTGGGAGGCCTCACCACACTCAAGTCCAGGGTTTTCCTCCACATCGGGTTTGCTCACCCCTGCAGGCACGCTTCACTTGGTGGACCTGGCAGGATCTGAGCGAGCCTGGAAGGCAGGGGCGGCTGGCCCGTCGCGAGGAGAGCAGGAAGGCGCCCAGCGTCTGCGGGAAGCCCGGACCATCAACCGCTCACTGCTGGCACTAGGAGGGGTGATGGCTGCGCTGCGGGCCCGGCGGCCCCACGTGCCTTTCCGCGATTCACAGCTCACACGCCTGTTGCAGCCAGCGCTGGGCCCCGGCGCCACTGCGGTTCTTCTGCTACAGGTGGGCTCTGGCGTGGGGCTTGGGGCGTGGTGCAGAGCCCTGGGAGGCAGGCTTGCATGCCAGGCACCGCCCACTCAGGTCCTGCCCACCAGTGTTGCACCCCTGCAGATCTCCACCAGGCCCGAGGATCTTGGTGAGACCGTGTGCTCCCTCAAGTTTGCCGAGCGAGTGGGTCAAGTGGAGCTGGGCCCAGCCCGGCGCCGCACAGCCCCGCGCTCGGGGACACCCTCCTCCCTCAGCACTGACACACCACTCACAGGGACTTCCTGCACTCCCACGCCATCCCCCGGTGGACCCCCAAGTCCTGGCCCAGACAGTGGCTCCATCTTGGCCTTTGCACCCCAGGAGGACCTGCCACTGTAGCCCTGCCCAAGGAGCCTTGGGTGGCGCCTCTGCAGGCAGAGGCAGCAAAGTCCCTACAAGTCTCCACAACCCCCAGAGTTGCGCCTACCCCACCACTGGTCCTGCAAGGAGTGTTAGGTCTGGGGAAATGATTCCCCCAGCTCCCACCTTATCACCATTTGCTGTTATCAGCACACAGCAGGGGATCCCAGAGCCCAGGGAGGGAGGCAGACCCTGGTCTGGCCAAGTGGTTACCAGTCAGTCTTGCCAACAAAAATCAGACTCGGCTAGTCAAAACGTTGTCGGTTCCTTTACTATCTATCTTCCTTGCTACCACCACCAAAACCCAAGTAGGTTTCCTACTCCCTATCCCTCTTCCCCAAAACGGTGCTACCTTCTAACAGTTGAGGGAAGACAGGACTTCAGTCACCATTAGGTTCTCCCTCCCCCAGCCTGCAGTGAGGGAGGGGAGGTGACATGGTGATGGATGGCTGGCTGGCTGGCTGGACGGACAGAGGGCCAGGAAAGGTGGAACCAGAAAAGGGACAGGAAGGGCTACTCTAAGCAGAGCCCCACTCTTCCCTGCCTTGCCTCTGGGGCTGAAGAGAAGCATGACTGACCACCAGGGCCAGGGTGGTACCCAACTGGACCACAGTCTTTAATGGGGTAGTCCAATAAACTGTGGGCTCCAGCATGGCTGGTGCCTGATGTCTCAAGACTACTGTGGCCACAGACACTTCTTGGTCCTCTTGGCCTTGGTTTCCCCTCAACAAGCCAGTGGTGGCAGGAGAGGGTGGGAGAGGAAAGCAGCCCTTGCTCCGGGGTCTCACAGGCTGTACCAAGAGAACATCCAGCCTGGGGTGGAGGCAGCCAGGTCCCGGGGTCGGCTAACCCACACATCATAGATGCTCTTGTTGGGTGGCACTCCCTGGAAGAGAGCATCTAGATCCCAGGGCAGCCCTGGGGGGCCATGGGTTTCAGGGGTCACCCCCCAGTAGGCTGGGCTGTTGGCAGGTGGGCACTGGGGGCAGGAATTGGGTGGGAGTGGGGCCAAGGGCATTGCCACATTGGGAGTATAGATGGGCAAGTAGGAGGTGGGCAGCTGTCCCCAAAGTGAGGCCCTGTGATTCCCACCGGACAGACCCCCAGGGTCTGGGGTACCCTGCAGTAAGTGAAGGGGCCAGGTTCGTGGCTCAGAAGTGAGGGGCGAGGGCCTGTTAGTTCCCCCTTGGGAACTCTCCCCTTCCATTCTCATGGGTGCAGCAAGGGGATGGAGGGGCCACAGAGGCCTTTCAGAGGGCAGGGGTGGTGTGTGCACCACCTCCTCTCCGCTGTGTACTGATGGACCTGGGCTGCTCCGTGGCGCCCCCTCCCCTGGGTCCCCCAGCAGAGACTTAATGCTGAAGCCTTCGCTGAGCTGTGGCTGGGGGCTGGGAGGTCGGTAAGGCCAACCGTGCAGCACATAGGGGCCCAGGTCCTTGACGAAAGCCCCCCGCGCACCCCTGCTCTGCCAGCGTCGGCACAGGGCTGTGTTCTGCAGCCGAAGCGCCTCGGCTGGGATCAGGCTCACGTCAACCGCCCAGAAGTTGCCCTTGGCCTGGGGCTTCGCAGGATCCTTGGGCACCTGGGGGGGTGGGTAGAGGGCAGGCTTAGATTGGGCCGCCCAACCCCAGATGCTCGGGAGTTCCTTCCCGGTGCTCAGACCCTCGCCCTGCCCCACCTTTCGGAAGCACCGGTTGGAGGAGAGGTTATGACGGATAGAGTCTTTCCAGCCCTCGTAGTCGTCCCTGAAGAAGGGGAACACGGCCTGGACCTGACGGATGATCTGAAACCACGGGGCGGCCGGCCGGGGCCATGAGCAGGGGCGCGGAGGGGGCGGCGGCACCCCTCCCCCACAGCCCGGCCGAGGGGTGGCCGGCGCCGCCGTCCCCAGGACACCTCTGCGCCCAAGGCTGAAGGGGAGACCTCACGGGCAAGGGTCCCGCCTGTGCACCTCGGCTATCTCCCCGTTGCGTCCAGGCCGGGCCTGGTCCCACTGGCATAACCGCGTCGGGCAGGGTCGGGGTGGAGGCTGGGGCCTGAACCTGGGAGTAGGTGGGGATGGGTCCGGGGAAAGGTCCGACGACCGAGTGTGAGGAGCGGGGGACCCTCTCACCTGGGCCAGCTTCAGCCTGCGGGAGGGCGCGGCCTGGATGACCAGGGCAATCATGGCCAAGTAAGTGTAGGGGGGCTTGTCATGCCGCAGGTATCTCTTCTTCCTCCTCCTTGGGGGCTGGGAGGGCGACTCCGCCCTGGGAAGTCCCAGCCGTGGGTTGCTGCACGGCCCCATGCAGGGTAGACGGGCAACGTGGGCAGGGGCCTGGCCCGGTGGAGCGCGCGAGGCAGTGGGCAGTGTGGCGAGGTAGGGCCGGGGCCTGAGGCCGGGCGGGGGGAGGCTGGTCGGGCCCTTTATCATTCGAATGGAAGGGGGAGGGGAGAGAAGGCCCAGAGAGGGAGGAATACGGCGGTGGGGGAGGGGAGCGGCCGAGGGCTGCCACAATTAGCTGGATTCGGTTAATCTGGAAGGGAGGGGCCGGGAAGATTCCAGTGGGGGCTGCCGGCGGCCACCTAGGCCTCTCTCCTCCCTCCTGGGCTGCCTGTGAGCCGAAAGGAAGAGCCCCTGGAAGGGACCCATGACCCAGGGTTACTTTATCCCGTCCGTCTGGGCTAGGTCTCAGACTCCCATTTAACAGACGGGGGAGTGATTTGCTCAAGATGAGCTGCGAAGGGCCTGCCTAGAGTTCAAGGCTGAGTAACTAGTAGGACCTGGGTGGTCTGGGAAGGCTTCCTGGAGAAAACCTCAGGAACAAAAGACAGGCACAGTTGATTCAAGGGATTTTCCCAGGGGCTGCTGCAGGACTCCACTGAGCATCCCAGGCCCTGGAGGCCACTTTCCTCCCCTCCTTGGTGCCTGTCAGCAGTGGTTTCTGGGGACAACCAGCCCTTATTCATTGTGCATCTCGCTGGCAGTGGGTGAGCCGACCTGCCTGGTCCCAGAGGTCTTCCTGGAGGTAAGCTTGCTTCCCTCTCCTCTAAGGGTCCTCTGGGCCTGGATGCTCTGGGATCTGTCCCCTCAGAGGATGCCTCTTGTTCCTCTGGAACACTTGGACAGTTCCCCTGGGTGGGTATATGCTGTAGGGGTTTACTGGACACCTCTCAGGGCCAGGCCCTGAGGATACAACCCCATGGTTGATGCCTGCCCACGGGAGCCTGCAATGACCACCTGGCTTCACCCTGGGAGGGAGAGAGTGCAGGTATGTTGTGTGTGGGGGCACAGGAAAGCCTTCCCAGGCAGTCACAAGCCCCTGTGGCTTAGTCTAGAAGTAGGGAGATGCTCCCTAGGTGGGTCAGGGCTGGCCTGAGGGGAGGGAGAACACTTTAGG